AATCTGTGGACAGTAGAGGGACTATTGATTATCACGGTAGCTCACCTTAACGTATCCATGTGGACACACCATCATCTGCCAGTCTGGTCTATGGGAACATCTCGGTGTGGTCAGGAAGGGTATATTCTTAACAACTTGCACTCCTGGATGCCCTGTTACACTTCCATCTTTGTCCAAGAAGGTGGCCCGTAAATCACCATCAAAATCACCAAAGTCTATATTGCTTCCGTTCCCATCAAACACCCAGTTGCCTTCTGTCTAAAGAATGATAAAAGTAATATAACTATATCCTTGAGGCCAAATATTAAAAAAGTTTCCTATTCCGTTGGCCTGATTAGAATTTATATCCAAAACAGAAATTCTTATGCATTTCCTTTTTATGGTATACTAGTTACTACTACTACCGAGTTTTATAGTACACAATATTTTAACAAATTACATTATCATAATCATTGCATATCCAAACCTAATGGTATTAATAACTTTTAAACTAAATCATCCATAAAAGATATAGAAACCTTAGAAAGTAGCGACGAGGGTTGAAAAAATATTCAAAATTTGTTAATAATTACCTCGTCACAGAAACTAAAAGTTGCCCCACTTGTTTGGCTGAAAGAACTAGAGGTAAATCTGTTTTTCCTCAGAAATCCATATGCACCAGCCGGTCTATGAGCAGGTATACCCCACCTTGATTCATAGGTATTACTCCAGTCTAAATCTTTGAACTGCCGGAAGTGACAATTGGTACTGTATACTGGTCCATCATAAAAGATAAATCCCTGAAGCGCATAGTTTCTGAAACCATAAAAAACATCCCATTTCCTATACTTAAAATGTATTTTACTGAGCTCAACTAACTGAATGTAACAGGGGTCCAAGCAAGTATGACAACCAAATGGTTGTATTTGTTTAAAGCGGATAGAAATCAATCTTTGAGTTGTCTAATATGGCCCTTCGGGTCATTCTTGGAGTGTTGCAGGCTATTTAACTTTGGAAGCTGTCCAAAAGACTGAAGATATATGTTCATGGGAAAGCCATTAGAAATGAAATAAGTCTTTAAGAGTAGCAGTCAAAACGACTTATTGTGCCGTAATGGTTAAATATACCCACATTGGGAGTGAAAAGGACAGTGAGATATACGTACGGATCAGAGACTGGTAAGGACCTTGGAAAAGAATGTTTCGGCTTTATGCTTCCCGAATAAGACCAGTTGGTGTAAGCTTGCGGCATTCCAAAATTACTAGATTCGCCAACAAACAGGGAGTCTTTGACTTCTTGTGATGTATCTCCGGCTGAAATTGGCATTGTTAGCCCACGAATAGAGTCTGCAAATCTGTAAAAGCAACATGATAATAAAGACTTATTTGTATCATAATAAATCTCCTTTTAACAAATGGAAAAAATATTACAGGAATAAAAGAGTCGTTTTTAAAAAACAATCCAAAGTTATTAAGTCTTATCATCATAAATAGAAATGCCTTACTTATTGCTTATTGTTTATTACCCTAATGAATCCTTTTACTTACGAGGATTCTTTTATTAAGAGGTTTCCAGCTCGTAACCAAGCGTTTTGATGTCGATTTTTGTAACCAGTAAACCTAGAATGAACAAAAAGAGACAAACCACTTAAGTAAATAAGCTGTACATTGTCAAGTTACTCAAGGGTATAATTGTCTAAATCTTTCCTTCGCAAGTGTAAAAAAAAGTGTTACCTTACAAGGGTTGATGTCACTTTTTCACCTTCTTCATTTGGTGGATTTTTAGCATTAAGACCTGAACCACCAATTATACCACCTTCTGGTACCCATTTACCATGATAATACTGTCCATAGGATATCTTGTTATCCATAAATAACCCGGCCTTCAAATATTAAATATTTAATATTTCAGACATTAAGTTGTTTGGGAGGGAGAGGAGGAGGGGGGGGGGGGGGGGTGGGGGAGTAGAGGGGCGGTGGGGGAGTAGAAACCAAAGACCATTTGCATGCATTTGAACTCATTTGTTTAAATTTCACTAAGCTCCCGTGAACAGGGCTTAGTATCATTTATTCAATGTATCAGAGATCAAAAATCTTCATTTTCTCAAGTGAGGACGGAGACATTGTGCTTTAGTGTTTGTATTACTTAATGACTTTGCAATAAAAAACAAGGTATGACCACAAGTATAAACACGGTAAGATAAATCATAACTGCTACTGTAATTGTATTGAAAATGAATTGATCACGACACGACATTATAAAAACTACCTGAACGTTTGGACTAACGCTGTCTTTGGGCAAATTAGTCAGAGCGAAAAAGGATCGTAGAAATCAAATTTTGCTGTGTGCTTTTTTGCACGACATGCGACTAGTAGAAAACGGCCTTTATAGAATTTCTGAGAGTGTTAATATATCATTACATTACCTTATTATTAGAATGAGCTACATTATTATAAAACTCTGTCACAGGCGTATATCTAGAGCTGAATTCTGTAACGAGACCCCGATCTTGTTGTCTTCCCCAAGATGGACCTAATGGTCTGTCAGAATTAATGAACCATCTGAAATATATACAGAGGCAATATATGCATCACCCATAAAACTATTGGTATTAGAGTATAGGAACGTGCATGGCTTGATTGAGAAGTTGTCAACGGTACAGTTTTAACATCATACGAGGTCTCCGTTGATCATGCAATTTACTTCATTATTTTATATGGTGTATTGTTATGGTGCCGTGACCATTAATGATTATTTATATCAGTTATCAGTACCTCGGATCCAGCAGCAACGTTGTTCCTGATATAATTGTTTGGATGAGTTAACCAAAAAGTTGTTGGTGCCCTGAGATAAAATAAAAAAAAAGAAATTCAACATTACTATAAATCATGTACAATTGGTGGAATTTTTTTCATTTCCCACGTTCATATCAATAAAGCCTGAATATATCCCTATTCCAACGACTATACACTTAACCCACGACCTTCATCACTGCCAAAACACGAAGTCATCGCATCCTGGTTGTCTCCACAGCACTGAGGGGAAAAAGTATAGATCACAGAGAAAGTCTGATACTTACGCACAGAAATCTTTATTGGTTGAATTACACCATTCTCTTTTTCTATCAGAGAGCAGCAAACCTCCATATCTAGTATTGATACCCAAATTACCATCCAATATATTCCTTATTTCAGCAGCATCTTCCAGAAAAAATCCATGACCAAGATGTTCAAAGCATATATTATCTGTTACCTAATCATTAAAAAGACTTTTAATTGCTTACAGTTCATAATCCCTAGATCACAAGACCAATTTTTGTCTTAAAGGGTAGAGCTCATATTAAACTATCTGTATCACTTTTGACAATTAAAATCCGACGACGGAATCTCCGGTAATTCAACAGCTATAATATAATTTTCAACGATATATAAGACATAAATGGTCTACCTTATTTGTGAATCTCTCTTGGACTGATACTTACGTTTAATCCATCGGTACCATGGATAGTAATACATCTAGCTAGAGTGTGGTGAATCGAATTAGATTTAATAACTGTGCCATCAACATCGTCACACATGTGGAAATGTATCGGATAGTTACCTAAAAATCAAAGGTTATTTTGACCTTTATTACTGTAGTTCTGAATTTTGAAGATGGGGGGGGGGGGGCAATTTAGCTTATTATAGGAAATATTGGAGCGCAAAAGAGGTCATTTTCAATCGCAAACTGCTATGCGATACCAATCATATTGAACCCGGATTTTAATACCATTATAAAGACTTCTGATCGCTGTCATTAGTCAAACATTTGTTCAGATGTACATCTTACTTACCCAAAGAAAATTGTTGTCCCATATGTTTAAACTCTGCTCCTTCTACATGAACAACATTGAATCCATTGACCACCTACAATTATTTTTTTTATAATCATTGTTACGCTTAAGCTATCTTGTTTTGTGGCGAGTAAGGATTTGGTCGATTAACATGACGAAAAATATAATTTGGGCCATAACATGCAATTGTACTTCTTGTTCGATTTACCTTAAAGTGTCCTCCAAATGTATCTTTCTTAAACCAACTACAAAGTTCTTGTTCTTTCTCAGTAGTACCATAGCACACTGGCTCCATCTGACCCTCAAATCTGATATTTCTTGACAAAAGACCAACTTCACCTCGTTCATCCACACCTTCTGTTACTTCACCATAATGACTGTATTGAAATGCACCTGAAAGGTTTAATTATTAGGATATAGTCAAGAACATCACATACATCATCTTATATCTTATGAGTAATTTCATCTAGCGTAGGGTGGTTCAGCGATAAAGATATTTCCTCGTTAACCTTGCAGTCCGGCTTTCTTCATAGGTAGCCAGTAAGACGCTTACTCACTATACTAGCTGTCCGACGTTCTTCAGAGGTCGTGGTGATATTCTCTGGATTTTTTCGGTTTCCCCATATCAATAATGCAGGTTGGTGGGGTATCCGAGTTCATACCATCGTTCAAGTACGGCCAACCAATAATTGATGGACGGTGGTTTAAGACCCACATTTTGGAAAGACTTGTGTCCTTACTATTCCTGAAAACTTCCATTACAACTGGATAAGTTTGCACAGGAGTTTGGTGGGCAGCTCAATCATTACTGGACCGCTTTACACAATTGAAAGCTAGCAGTTACAAGCTAGAATGTCCCGAAATCTAATTGAACGAGCAGCTTAAGTAAACTAACACTAAACATGCTAGCTCCAGACTTACCATCAACTCTGAATTGATTTGAATTGCAATCCAGACATGGGAAAACAGTTCTTTCTTCGGCTTGATTTAAATCATAATCTGTTGATGCGAATACAAGTTGATCGTCTGAAATTAAATGAATAGGTCTCAAATTCTTCAACTCTTGCACGCTTGTCAATGCTATTACTTTTGAGAATATATTTCCTTCGTTGTTTTGTCCATGTTATAACATAATACATGTAATAATATATTGTAATTGTATTTGTTGTATTATTAATAGCTCAAGATATCATCAATTTAAGATTACGTGATTTTGGTAATTGAGTTCCGATTTTGATTGAAACACGTCGTTTTTCTCCTTAAGATCATAATATCAGTCGGTAGAAACACTATATAATGTGACTTTAGCAAGTATGTCAAAATGTTGTAAAATACAGAATACCCACCTGGTTGCCAGTTTACAGGAGAGATGACATCAATCTTTGGGTATGCTACGTCAGCAGTTATAACTTTAAAATCAACGTAATCTGGTGTTCCCCATGGTCCTTGCCACTTCACGGCGCTTTGGGCACTAAATACCAGCCCTTTTTCCCAGTAGTTTATTCTCACTGAGTTGTCCGTTCTTGTGTAATTCTGTCCTGCTTCTTTTGGAGCATGTTGTTCGTTAGTGAATGATGAATTACCTACCAAGAGAGAATTTAAAATACTCCAATACTGGTTGTCCTGGCAAAATTGGACAATGAATAAAGTGTTAAGACACATGAGCTAAAGAATCTAAATGCACTATGTGCTGTATAATAGAATGCTTTTAGAGTCGATGAATTCTGGTACCTTGCGCTTTCAAAAACATATCAAAAGAATTGACGGTTCCGATATTAACATTAAAGCCCCACGTCTTCCAGAGTCACATCTAACACCAAGATGGGGATAATACAAATGGCTTTCTTGGTAGTTTTTCTAAACGTTCCTTACGCTGTATCTGGCCTTTTATTGCAAATATTTTTTTCCGTAAGTGGATTGAAAAGATTATGTAAATGATGCAGAACTATCAAGCGATGGACTTCGTGCTACTTTTTGTTTACTCACCTACAAGAGTTATAAAAGCATAAGCTTCATCTTTAGCAACGTTTCTCATCACACTCGAACCTGGCGACATACCACCCAGTTTTTCAACGGCTTCATACACTTGTCCAAACTCTCTGTCCTTTTCACCGATGCCCAATCCTCGTCGAACAGCTAAAGCAACTATTTTACCAACTTTAATACCTTCAAGAAATATATAATAAATTTTCAATGGGGCCATCTTCAAAATATCTTTGGTTGGAAGTTGTGGTGACTAAGCTTGTATGACACTTGCGTGTTTAAAGGGATAGTCTACACCTTTGGATTGTTCAATCTGACACAGAAAGAGGTGCTCAGTTGGACAGACTTTGTGCGTAAATGCTCGATAGTAGGAAATCGAAATTGAGAGTTATATAGTTATAGCGCAGTAGTTTCATCCATAGCACAATACATTTTGTGCACGATTCCATTTGGTAAAAAAGATGCTAGATGCAAGTCAACAACATCAGTGTCAAACTTACCATTGACATACTGTACAAAATGTTCATCGGAAGAAGTGTCCCATTCTTCACCTGTGGTAAAAGCTACAAAATCATGAAATGAACCATCTTCGTTCCACACCATTACATGGATTCCTTTACCCCATTCATCTTTAAATGGAGTGTTCTACAGATAAATAAAATCATGATAGTTTCTTTCAATTTATTGCACATTGAATAGTGGGGTTCAATTTTGTATTCTTAATGAGTCTCACTCATTTTAAAAATTTTGATTTTTTTAAGGGCAATAACTCGTGGACTGTATATCGAAACATCATCAACTTTGAACTCGACGGAAATTTCTATATTCTGCAATAGGCTAAGCTCCAGCCTAAAACTAAGGCTTTTATCGCACAAACAATCTGATTTTGAGTCCTTACTATAAATGGTTCAGCGAAATATCGCTTTTTCGAACTGGTCCTGGAATCCATCAATCCAACATAAGCATAAAATGTTTCAGCTAAAACTGAAGAAAAATCTACATAATTTCCTTTTAACAAGCTGATTTAGACCAATGGCCAATAAATAAGAATACCATTTATCAAAACATACTGAAAATCAAGATCTCATTACATTTCTAGAAGGATCTTTTTACCTGGTGATCATAAACCACTCCACATGTGTGTGACGAAGCAGGAATAGTCCGAGCTAATTTAGTCCACGATATTTTATCTTCACCATAGATTAGTGTGGTACTTCCGCTAGTAGCACCATAAAACTTTCTACCAAAGCCTGTTATTGATTCTTTACCATCATCAGTACGCCCTGGAAGTCATTGATTGCATAATAAATCATAGGACTGGTTTCAATTACATTGTTTCATGTTGGCAGAATTGTTACTAGCTGAAAATGCATTATTTCAGGCCTTCCTTTTATAGTATAATTTCATTCTACTACGAAGTAGTAGGGGTTTAAATTTTAGTTCATTAATGAGATCATCCGTTCACAATTTATCAAGGGTTTCACCCTTCCATTATTCATTATTCAATTATGTAATTTCATATTCACATTGTGTATTTAATACAACGTTCAATTGGAGTTACGACTGTCTTCATTTCCAGAATGCTATAATCAAAATTTTAGAGTGCAGATATTATTACCTATAGCAATATGAGATTTGTCAAAACTGCCCATCTACATATCTATCTTCAAAACAGACGAACCAGAAGACAGAACAGTGATACATTAAATTTGAATAAGCTGATAGAGCAAAGAACTATATGATTATATTCCTTCAAAACTTCTGCATGTATGTACCGCGATAACATTTCAGAGTAGGTCTAAACCTGAAAAGTCATTTACCTGTTAAGACTATGTTAGCTTTTTTAGTGAATCTACAATCTGGGCTTCCAATCTGAAATCGTCCATGGTTTAAGATGTAATCTGTAGTTATCTTGATATCATCCTGATCGTTCCAGACTAACACCGAGTCGGACAGTATTTCTATACCAGATAATGGTGGTGGAGATTCATCTAGTAACACTTTCTTGCCGGATAACACCACCTAAATAACACATTAAAGACCAAGCTTGTGGGAGTTGAAATATGTTTTCTAGCTCTTGTAATGATTATAACAAATAAAAAATATTAGCTATGTGGACTCTCCGCAGATCATAGTGTTTTCCACCAGGAAGTCCATATAGGGGTATAAATAAACTTCAGGGTACAGAGTTTTTTTAGCTGGTTCTATTACACCTTTCAGGGACCTTGATCTATTACATAAACCCCCTATCCACTTATAAATCCCCACTATTTCTTGCTTTTCTCTAAGGTTTTCCCTGCAATCTCTTTGATATCGGAGAATATAACCTGACTGAATAGAACAACTCAAATTATGACTGTCCAAAAATTTTCTTTTTCTTTTTATTTCTTTTAAGACTTTAAAACGCCTCATTACCCTGCCAAATTTTAAAATTGACGGGAAGGCTGATTGAGCCCAGGATGAAAACCCTGTTCTAAAGAATTTAGACATACATTATTTACTTTCATAGATATCTTCTACGTCTTAACGTGGCCCATTTTATATGATAACCATCAACAGTTTTAATTGTTAAACCATATCTCCTACAGGATTTAGAATGAGTAGATTTAAATGATTAAACCGATAAAAGTTGATCGATATTGATGTCCCGTTGTTTTAGAAATTATCGTACTCGAGTGACCGCAGGTGTTTTCCACGATATATTTTTTATAAAATTTTATTAAAACATAATAACTACTTTCAATAATATATTTAAGCCAAAAGGCACATTGACATTTAAAACTTCAGTCTGACTTTTAAGGTATAGGTTGGGAAAGTTAACATTAATGAAAACTATATAGACCGAAATCTAGAAAAGTGTGTTCCTTAGGATGTGGGCCCAAGGCCAGTCTTGGTCGCCGATTTTTGTCACCCACTTGAGTCTTCACCGAGGTGACAAAAATCCCTAGTCGATCGTTTTCCACTATGTCAATTATCACGTTCGGATCATGCAATTAAAAGGAAAATGAATCTCACTGGATGATGACAGTCTGTCTTGATAAATAATCAACGACATAAATTCTGCCGGTTATGCGATAATCTTGTCGACGAAAATCGGCGACTGTTCGTGTGCCCGCACTTTTACCTTATCTGAAAGTTTTAACATAAAATATTTTGCCGTTTAAATTTCAAAACGCTATGCAATCTGTCATTTAATCAACCCCTTTAAAACAAATTTGGGTCGATCAAGCTCAGAAGAAAACATCATATTTTTAGAAATACTTTCACGTAATGATTCACAACTTATTTGAAAACTTATACGAAAATTTCCCATCGCTTCTTTAAGGACTGGACCTTAAGATTTTCTACGTAGGCTAAACCGGCTTTGCCGACCTCACCCAGTTTTGTAATTTTATCATTGAGTTATTAAATGCCTGATGCCCTTTCACCTGATGAATCCTAAAAAAACCGCTGGATCTGATGTAGGTAATAATCAAATTTTTTGAAACCAGAATGAACTACTGTAAATTCGGAAAATAATGGCCATATTATGACATTAAGTCAAAAAGATAATCTTGACAAGTTTGTTTTCTGGTATTAAAGGAAACATAGATGTCTGCCGGCCAATCGAAATCATATCGCTTCTAAAAATAATACTGATTTTGTTTGAAAATGATTTTAAGGCTTTATTTGCAATTATCAAACTACAATTTCTAATTTACTAAGGGAAGTAAATACATTTGTTTACTAAGTTTACATAAACTTTGTCGGTAATAGTATGCAACTAATGGATAATTTTCAGGAATAATTTACGACGTTTTTGGTCCAATGGTCCAAGTACTTCCTTAGCCTATAATCAAAAATTTTTATTCCATCAAATATACCCCATGAAATGATGCCTTGGTCCTGTTGGTAAAAGTTAAATCGACTTTAGTTGATTAGTAGACGCATATAGTTTTGTGTAATAGAGATCTTGGTTTTGACTCACCTTGGTGTTTGGTCCAGGTTTCACTCCGCCGTCCCAAGTTGAAGCGTCACTCCATTTCAACAGACCGTCTTCCAGATGAGGACAGATGGCTTTGGACGTCTTTAGTAACAATGATAACAATATAGCGTATTTTAAAATCATAGCGGTGCTTTTCCTGAATAATTCCTACTTCAAATTATGATATTAAAACATTAAGATTTAATTTTTCTCTTAACAAGGGAATAATGTTATATAGACACAGCTTTATGGAACAACAATCACTGGTTAAAGTTTTATGCAACGTTTCGACGTGTTTCCCCCGTCGTCCTCAGGCCTGTCTATATATCGTACTCACAATTGCTAAATGCCATTCAAAGACTTTAAGGGAATAATGATAAAGAATACTCAGTATATAAATTAAACTTTAATATACTCGCTCGAGGCCATACAAATCTGAGATCACCGAATCGTGGGAGTCAAATTTATACGCACCAAGTCTCTTTCGTAACATTGTTTATTTAAAATCTGTTTTTTTTTATAGGTATTTTGCGATCACGTGATATTTACCTGAGAACAAAAAATAGTAATAACGTCAATACGTATTTCGGTGTTATTAATCGTAAGCCATCTATATTCAAGCCTGTCAGATAAGGAGTTATCAATATTATTTACATTAGTATTTTATGGTCCATCAATGATTTCCGTTTCAATTCGAATGTGGCAAATTTTTGGTTAATAAACAAAGGGAATGTAGAAATATATGTTCCCTTAAGTTCCTTGGAAGTCATAGAAATAGTCGATTGGATATTGACGTTATTAACTGAATGTTTTTAGGATCATTATCCCTCTTCCCGACGTACACCGGACAACGGTCCCTCGCTATTAATTTAATACCAACCATGGAAGACATTCTATACTTTCTGACCGTTATCGATACTCTGGCGTGTATTGTCTTACCCAGGGGGGTTGTTTTTCATATTACATATTTGCTTTATTCCGTTTTATAATAGCATTTCATTATTGTTTTGCGTTCTGTTTTGCTATAATATATATGCAATAGGTAATGAAACAGTCAAATATCAGAATTATGAGTGTCATTTAAAGTTATCCAGACCACAATGAATTATACAAGTCATATGTTCAAATATTCAAAACAACTCTAAGGAATTTTATCACCATGAAAGATTCACCTCAATTTTGACATCCAGCCACTTGAATATACAAAAACATCAAAATATTGATCTTATTTCTTTAACTAAGAAAATCAAAAAGCGAATTAAGTTAATCGGGCGTCAATTACGATAGTCTTAAAATGTATGATAAGGTAATTTGCTTACCGAAGCGTCAAACGTGTTTGCCTTCTATTTTAAGCTTCATTTGCTGAACATTGACCCCAACTTTCTTAATTCAGTTTTAGAGACTGACAACTATCTACCGTCCTCTTAATTTCGTCGTTGAATTCAATGTTACCTTTCATTTTTATATGGTATAGAATGCCTAGTTTTGTAAGTTTGCAAGTTGTGAAATTAATACATATATACGTGAAGAAATCCATTAATCATAAACGTATTATAACTACGCTATCGCAAAGGCCCTGACATATCATTCACAACTTTTGTTATAGCGACGTCAGAAATCGCTTATATTGTGGTGGAATTGACAGAATCACAGACATCTGATGCATAATTCATGCAAACAAAAATTTACAAAACCTCTTTAATCCTTTTCAAAGCCATGGTTTGCTATTCTAGGGTGTTGATTTTGATCTTGAATAAGTACTAGAAATGCACCAATACAGCACAATTCTTTCTATATATGTCTTTTCAGCATTATTCTAACAGTGAAAATATTATATTATTGTATGTCTTTCTTTATATGTCAGAGTCTCAAGAAAAGACGAGTCGCCATATTCAAACGCGGATAATTCTGGACACACATGAATTTGATGGCTCAAATTTCGACGGTGAGCTGTGAACGCTATTACTGATTAGCTTAGCTAAAACATTCTCGTTTCTGAGACGGAGATGCTTGGTCAAACGCATGGTGAACCTGTCCTTTTCAGCTAGCAGATTCCTGACCTTGATTAGAAAAGGAATTTAACATAGTCAAAGCTTAAATACCCACATTATCCTATTTTGTTTCAATTCAAACAAACAATGTAAATTTTTATTTCATCGTTTCCAAAGAAAATACTAAATACCATAGTAAATAACAATACACTAATGGTTTGTTTTCGCTGTGCCGACCAAAATTCGGATCAATAAGGTTTAAACTTAAAGTTATGTTTCTGCACGAATTTCACTGATTATTTATACGTGAATAGGGTTAAAAAGGATTATAAAAATGTCAACGGAAAAATGTGTTTTTCATTTTCTGCCGATAGTCAGAACATCTCTTAAAAATCCCAATATCTGTCTACGGATTCAATTATTAAAAACAAATATACATGTTTAATGTAAAATAATATAATCTATAATCATTCATTTAAATGTTTTTAGGTCGGTCATTTCATCGAATAGCCCTGTCACACCGTACTTCGAACATTAGCAGTCTAACGGCGGCTGGAAAGTACTAGATAGCGGTCAAACGTGAGGAAAACTAGTCGACCTAATACCGGGAGTTATGTGACGATATAGCATTCTAGCGTTTTGGCAGCGTCTTTGCCACGCGTGTACTGCGCTTTGAAAACGCTCAATGAGATGTCACAACGCTTGTCTGGCGACTTTCTCGATCACATGACGTTCTTAATGCGCTTATACCACATTCATAGCGGCATTAAAACGCTCTATCGCAGTAAGAACACCTCCCCGGGACGACAGGGCCTAAGATGATAACACGTTGTAATTCAAATGCTCACGGTGGAAAAAGATATAATTGAGCAAAGTAATTCACCATCTAACACAGACACACATCCATTTTCTACACCTTAAAGGCCAATGGAGACGGACAACGCCATGCAGTGTGCAATGGGGGCACTCAGGACAACTAGACTCTCTTTGTATGTCAGTCCCTCCGACCTGCATCATTGGCAGGGGGAAACCGGGTTGAAAAATCCGAAAGTATTATCTCGACCTATGCCGGGATTGAACCCTGGACCTTCAGTTTAACGAGAAAGCATCTAACTCACTGAGCCACCGAGGCTGCACGGTGAAAAAGGGGCAGATGGTTCTGGATTATCAAAAAATAGAAAAGAAAATTGATTTTATATATTAATCTTTATTGTTTTGAAATCTGCAGGTGCATAAAATATTTCTTTGCTCGAATATAAAGCCAATGAATATACACATATGAAATATCTATTTGCATAAAACATTCAAAAATTAACATAAAATCGGATGTTAAAAAATTTCGTCAATTTGAATAATTCCATAGTTTTAAATGCCTTATACAAAGGAAAACATAAAACACCCAATAACATAAAATAGGGTTTTACAATACCATCCATGATCTGACAAAATTATTTTCCCGATATCTTCAAATTTAGTTATTATCTATGCTAACAAATCAAAACTGATTGTTTAAGACTGACAATGAAAGTCATTGTTAAGTATAACAATAATTATCCTGGAATTTGTGAATAAAACAAAACATTTGATTGATTGAAGGCTTCAATGACCTATAACATTCCTTGCATAACAAATGCTTCAGATCATGGGTAGCAAGTAGAGTCATCCACAGAAGAAACACACAGATTGAAAAGAAATAAATATCATAATCTACAAGGAGTATTATTACATAAGTTACATAATAAATAGACATAGACATATCCTACATTGAAATTATAAATCTGTTCAAAAGAGAATGTATACCTGCATTGTATTGCATTGTACATGTATATGATGCCAGAATTGTGATACATGATGTCATTGTGATCCAAATAATGCCTGCATAGTTATTCATTGTATATATTGCCAGGATTGTGATACATGATACCAGCATTGATATATGATACCCGCATTGTGATAGATGATATCAGCATTGATGCGTGATGCCAGCGTTGAGATACATGATATCAGCATTGATACATGAAACCTGCATTGTGATACAAAAATGCCAGCATTTTGATAAATTGTACTGGATTCCAGCATTGCAATTCATTGTAAATGATGCCAGCATTGCAATTCATTGTAAATGATGCCAGCATTGTAATTAATTGTAAATGATGCTAGCATTGTAATTAATTGTAAATGATGCCAGCATTGTGATACATGATACCAGCATTATATATCATTTTAGAAGCTGCCAGCTTTATCATACATAATACCATCATTAAGATACAAAATGTCAGCTACTTAATGTCTGCCTTGCATAATGCCATTATGTCAGCTTTGTGATACATAATGTCAGCTTTTGCAATACATAATACCAGCATTAAGATACATAATGTCATCTTTGCGATACATAATGCCAGCACTATGTTATTATAACTGTATTATTCAAATAAACACTTCATTATGATCATGATTATAAAATGAGAAATTTGAACAGGGAAAATGTAAGTACCAAACATTGGCTTGAAATAACCATACTTATATTTTGGCAAAATAATTTTAAAATCAATTGAAGTCCCTTAAATCTACATAAGAAAACCCTGAAGAAATTCTCTCTTCTTGATCACTTAATGCCACTCTGCTGTTGGGATACAACAGAAGCAGTAAATATATTTATCAAAATCTGAACAATACGTGAGAAAATGCCAAAAATTGTGGTTTCACTAAGTATATCATATTAATATGTTTATTCATGAAGTCAAAAACTGTCCCTCAGAAAGATAGATTGTAATAATATATGTCATTTTTTGCCATGGCATGGAAATTTGCCGAGCTGGTAAAATTAAGTAGTATATTCACATTTTATACAAAGTAAACTTCACATATATTAACTAATATTCATACCACCCATAGCCCCATTTAAATCTTCTTCTCCATCACTGCAGTATGTGTAATCCTCGGCGGTGATTTGACGAGCCTGGTATGCTGGATGAGATCGGCGACGTGGTGAAGCACCTTGGTTGGAGGATGTGTTGAGGGAGGAGTTATAGCTGCTATCACTGGTTAAATTATCACATGGTGAATAAGGTGGAGGGGGTTCACCTACAAAATGATTGATAGTACATGACTTGTTTTGAAATATCTAAAGTTATGAATGAAGTTGGAAATGAGGGCTAATGAAGACAGGCAATGACATGCAATGTACAATAAGGTATATTTGCCAGGGCAGCGGCATTACAGTAGTCTAATATTTTGATAACTGGTTGATTGATAGAGAATATATCAACTCTGTCATTACCAAACCACAAACAGCTCAGCTGTTACATTGACAACTATTCTTGGATTATCAGCAGGACAAAAAAATCATCCTACTTGTTTCTATTCTTAACTAACAAAGGATCTCTAATGAACACAATCTGTAGTCCATCAGGTCTTAGTTTATTATCTCATCCAATAGTTTGACCACTATGTCAGCCCTTTCAAACCTCTATTAATAACATCAATATCATAATCATTCCAAAAGACACAAATACTTACAATAAGGGGATTGGGCTGCCCTTTCTTTATTTTTCTTGATTTCCTCTTTGGCTTTCATCACATAATGTTTTGTTGCACCAGAACCTGTATAAGAATCACTTAAATTTATAATTCCTAAATTTTTCTGAAAAGTGTTGATACAAGTTGAAACTCAAAACCGGACAGAATTTCAGAAGCACTGGCAATGGAATCAGAATTTTCACTACCTGAGAAGAATTCAAACCAATGACCCCTTATATCTTACAGAGGATAATCCACCTTGCTATCGACTCAGCTATGAGAAATGCAATACCACACAGTGTCCATTGAGAGAAAATTTGCTAGGGCAATGACCTCAGCCTACTATTGCTATTTTCATTTGTCAAGCGATCTTGCCCAAATAATTTTCATTCCACAAAGTCACAAATTTAAAGGAATTTCTATGGAATAAGTTAACAAATTTATTTACTCATAATTTTAAGAGATTTTAAATACCCGTATATTTGATGTCTTCAAGTTCTTGATCATGTACATCAGGTAGTTGCAATGCTATATTCTACAACAACATACAAACATAGTTAGATGGTGGTCAATTAAATTAAATCAGACTACAATTACATAGACAAATTGTGGGATATTGGGGGGAGGAGGCTATCATATTGCTCGACTTTGGGTTATGCTATCTCACAATTCATCCTTTTGCATCCTACATTACAAGCTTTGATTGTTTAATAACAGCATCTGACTGGACAGGATTGAGGTAGACATCTTGTTAGATTACAATTTAGACAAAAAATATCAGAAAAAAGAATTGAAGTTTAATTTAATTCTAATCAGATTCAAGAAATTCCTGATTTTGTTCATACTTTTGACAGAAGATTAATTACACTTACTCTTTGTGATTCAAACACTACTGCTGTATTATGTGCAAAATCAATATAAGAATTAGAAAACTTTAATAAACCTTCCTTAATTCTTATCAGTTTAACTGCTTCATTTTCACGAGTTCGCTCGTTCACTGAAATAAAAAAATTCAGGATAAACTTTGACTGTTTCTTCCATAATGGATACTTTTATATTTTTTAACTGAGAACATAGTAAAATATCATAGTTTCTTCCTTATGTTAACAATTTGGAATAGTACTCAAAATATGTTACCTTCTAACTGTGCTACATCTTTGGCTCTTTCAGCCTGGGCTAATTTACTTTCTAATGCTTCTAATTCTGCTCTTGGTGCTTTCTAAAAATAACAACCATAAATTAATAAAGATTTTGGGAATGAAATGAGTTTTACATCTAACATATTGAAATGAAGTTTGTTACATTCGACTAATTCTTAATTTCATTTATGAAATGTTCTACCGGTAACATTTTTAATGCATGAGTGAATATAATCTAAATACAAGAATGAAATCATTATTAATTCAAAAAATGAAATGAAAAGAATTGAATGGAGTTTTACGTCCTACTTTTCTGCACCATGTGAGCTAATGAAGACGGGCAACGCCATGCAGGGTGAAATTTTGCCAGGACAGCGGCATAAGCCTGCTCTTTTTCGATTTCTAACTGGCGAGGGATCTTTAGCATGCACAGCCTGTAGCACACGGGCCTCGGTTTATTGTCCCATCCGAACGACTAAACGCTTTGTCCATGTCAGCCCCTCTTACCTGCATAACTGACAGGGGGAAACCTGGTTGAAAAATTATCTTGACCTATGCCGGGATTGAACTCTGGACCTTCAGGTTAGAGAGCAAGCGTCTAACTCACTAAGCCACCGCGGCTCCATAATTAATTCAAAAGATAATATTACCTTATAAGCCTTCTTCAATTCTCTTTTCAGTTTATTCTCTCTTTGATCACATGCAAGCTAAATGATAAAAAATATTTTCAAAATGAAAAGATCATTAGACAACATCACAGAAATGGTAAAACATCTTTCTGACTTGGTAAATTTTTCATTACATTTTTGAACACACATGGATTTCAAGGCTCAAATTTCGACGATGAGCTGTGAACACCTTTACTGATTAGTTAGGCTTAACATTTCCTGTGTCTGAAGCACAAAAATAAATTTAAAGAAAACAGAAATTACCAAGTGATTTTTGGACTGTAAGACATGTTTTTCTCCTTCTAATACACGTTCCCAAGTTTGACGATAATCTTTTAATTGATCTGTAAGAGAAGTAAATAAATAAACCATTTTTTTTAAACCTGAATGCATTGCAGATATCTCATCAATTAGTTAAAGCTGTAATGTTTCTCTACACTATTTCAATGTAAGTGATCACTGTTTCAATGTCAGTGATATACCTTATATTAGTGATTATTGATTATTATTGTTGCTGATCTGCTTATGAAGAAAAAGCAACAAAAAAGCTGTTTTTAAGAGCAAAATCCATAATAGAGTTTCAAAATTCTCTTTATAAAAGTTTGGAATAAGATCTAATAATATAAGCTTATCATTTAAAATATTAATATTTACCTATAAATTCTTTCTGAACTCCATTCCATAAAGCATTCAACTCAGACAACTGATTGGCCACATCCTAGGGAGAGAAAGTGAAATGGATTAGAAAAATTTAAAATATGTTTTGATATATTTCCACTTTCTGGAACTCTAAGAAGTGCATATATCTGGTGCCTTGTACCATGTCAGTGTTTAAAAATGTATAATCTTATGAAGCGAAAATTGATTTTCTACTTGCCTGTAAAGCCCTATTTTCAGCATTAGTTGACCATTTCAAAAAATCTTGACAAGCTGAAATAAATTGAGTTATATTGTTTTAACAAGAAACCAAATTTAGACTCATATCACAAAGAGATGCTCACAAATTAAGTACTGGTATTGTATATGCAAGGATGATGCAAACAATATAAAGAGTAAAATTCAATGACTGAAAACAACAGAAACTAGACAGAATAAGCCATGACCTTTCATTCTCATTGGCATGTATTTTTGCATAGTGCAATAGTGTGGTATAGTATAAGCCTAGACTGTAAGACATACCTGAAGTTTGAGCACTTTGATAAGCTTTCTGTGTGTTTCTCATATCTTTAAGCTCAGATATCAAGACATTTAAATCACTCTGTCCACCGCCAAGTGATAATAATCGCACACTACTCCTAAAATACAAAATACAAATAGGTTGTAACAGTTTAAAACATACAAGATATTTCTTCCTGAATTCTCCAATTAATCATATTGGAGTTGTCTTAGAAATGTGGTCTAAGTTCTTTTTTACATTGATCTGAGTCTTTAAAAAGTGTTCTTTGAAAATGCTTTTATTGGTCCAAGTTATCATTAGGAGGCCTATCAAAAAATGAGGGCTTAGCCTTAGGTCTATCCTATTGTGATAGTGTTATCTTACCGTCTCATAACTTTAGCAGCCTTTTCCATTGTTTCCTTCACACTTAAATGTTAATAGATTTCTAAAAATATAATCCGATATGACTACACCGACTACCGTTAGTCTTTAGAGAGTGGTCACTGACCTCAAAACACTGGTGTTGTTATTATTGTTTTGATCGTCTGTTTACAAAAATGAATTACGTTTTCGAGAGATGAAATCGACATAAATGACAATCTACAGAGTTTCAATTGATTTCATCTTGCGTAAGAATCAAATTAAAGGATTTAATTTCACAATTCATAAGTCAAATTAACGCCAAAATGTTTTCTTTCAAGTTTGTTGACGTTTTCTTTAAATCTTATGACCAAGGATCATTTTCCGGATATTGCAATATTTGACACGCCATCTGGTGGTGAAAAACGCGACTGTTTTTCCGTCACACGTCAAACACGTCACACGTCAATGCTACCTTATAAATATAAGAATCATTATTTTTAGTCACAAAACGAAATGTAAAGGGAAGCTATCCAGTTATGAGGAAAGGCTACAAACCACTTTAAATTAGTAACCTCAGAGAATATATTATCATGACTTTATAGACCTTTTCACGATAAAAGCCGCGCATGCGCATAAATACCCTTGAGTGGCAAGCCTATAAAATAACGTGCCGTGCCGTGTGACGCTAAACTGTGTAATTGCATAATTATATAATGCGCGTGATTGAATAATGCTCCTGATGCTCGTCTTAATCTGGATTAAATCTAGAAAGACAGGCTCAACAAAATGTTATTGACAGCTAGCTTAATCAACTGAGAGGGAGTTAGATAGAAAACATTATTGTGTTTTGTTTGTACCCCCGAATTGCAGCTTACTCACTTTCCTTGACATTTGTTCCTTAATTTCACATCCACCCCCGCCACTCCAATATATTATTTAGCCACCTAATTTTTCACTTTTTACACTGATTGTAGCTTCTTATCAAAATAAGTTTTTGTCCCAAAATTATGGACAGAATACATCAAATCATTTCCATTTTTCACAATTTTTCCAGTCGGTACTGACATGCCGCTTCAGCGTTTGGAATCTACACAGTGTTGTACCCCATTAAGTCAATCTGCCCCCCCCCCCTCCCCTTCCCATTTATATGTCCAGTTCCAGGTGACTGGCGCTAACACTGGAACAGTTGCTATCAGTGGCATACATTCTTTTGTCTGTTTGAGTCTTACAGCATTAGTTTTTTTCTTCTGAAGTTGGTTTAGGGCCTACTAAGGTCAGATAGCATAAAGTGAGAAACAAATTCAAGTTGGCATTCAAGACTCCTCACGATCGGGGTAGTCAATTGGATGTGCTGTTATTGGACGACCGCTCATTCTTAGGCAAAAAAAATTCAAACACGATTTTGGTAGTATAAGTAGTATACTTTTCATTTTTTATGGCCCTAGGAGGGCGGGGTGACATGGCCAAAAATTACCGCCATATACGCCACTGCCTTTCCGATCAACACAGAACTCTTTAGTGACAGCATAATAAAACAAGATTTTTTGTTCAATAGAGTTTTTTATTTATTTTTTTTGTTCATTTTCTGATGCAAATGTAATCAACTGTTTAAGCTGTTATTCTGAAATATATAATATACAATATGTTAGAGATAGAGTATATGAGAGTAATTTGTAAACATTTCGTTAATGATATGATGAAATCGAAATAACATGAATTTTACGTCTAACTTTTCTGCAACGAAGTTTGCTAATGGTGTGTAACTGCAGGCGACATTTTGACGAAGCAATGAGATGTTTTAAATCTGATCGTTTTTTGTTTCAAAATACAATAAGTGCACAATAATAAATCATATCAGTGCCAAAAATGGTTTATAAATGCTAATATATAACATTTGGTCTCTGCACATATATTATATAAAATATAATATTTCAGTGAGTAATTCAGAAATATAATATTTTAGTGAGTAATTCAGAAATATAATATTTCAGTGAGTAAATCAGAAATATAATATTTTAGTGAGTAATTCAGAAACATATTATCAGTGAGTAATTCACAAATGTAATTAGTCAATGAGTAATTCACAAATATAATATTTCAGTGAGTAATTTTCCAGAAACGTTACCAGTCAGTTTTTCAAAAATGTTATATTTCAGTCAGTTATTCACACATTTTACAATGCAGTGAGTAATCAAATTTCAACTCAGTAAGTAATTCACATAATACATGTATTATCGAGGTTATACTCTTACTTACATGCTGGACAGACACCGCACATGATGTTACAATCAGTGGGGAAGTTGGAATATTTCGTGCAGTCGGCAGCAGTAAAGAATTTTTGGCACCACCATTCCTCTTGTCCGGGACAACTTTCTACAAAAACAATGTATTAAATTTGATTGAGATTCATTTTAAGAAAAAACTTACAGTGAAGAATTTTAGGCGCTAGAACCGGCCATTTTCATCAAATTAGCTGAAAATTGACTTGGATGGTAGTATCAATATAAATCAGTAATGCATGGATAAAAACTGTTCAAAATATCACCAGAAGAAATATCATGGAATCATAAATATAGATATATATAACATATATAGCAAAACGATCCCCTTTTGCATCTATATTGATGGGATAAAATCGGAAAGTTCCTGAAAAAGAGACATCCTTTGAAATCAAAACGGAAACCATGTTAACTTTTCAATATTCATCCCCTCAAATATTAAAATATGTCAAAAATATATTTCATTGCCTCTATCGAATATACATTTCTAGATTTCCAAGTCTTTTGGTGTCAATGGATATATTTTTATATTATCAGATCTTTTCGGCCATTTTGTTGAAGTTTTGAAGTAGATCGGTCTTCAAATGGACTTACTGTCGGCACAGGTTGGACCAGTGTAAGGGTCTTTACAGGTACATTGACATGTGTTTGGATCCAAAGTTCCACCATTTTCACATTGTTTTCCATCACATGCTGTAAAATGAAAAAAAAAACACCATACATATAAACTCAACTATTTACGAGACGCTTGTTTAAATAGCCTGATTGAAAACAAATTGGTCTTACCATCCTTACCAAATTTCAGCACCTCGATAACCTTTAGTGTACATACAGCATTAGCACAGTGTTTACATTTTTTTTAATTTCATTCATTAAATTGAAACACCCGATTCTAAGAATCTTGAAAAAGGCGAGTCTAACATGGGAAAATTATGGATACGTGGATAAAAAGGCTTATATTTATTTCGTCGGTTTTTCATCTGTTTTGGATGTATAATCTTCGGAATATATATTCATTACTCTTTTGTTTTTTTATATTTTTAGTCCCTATTGTAGGCTAATCTTGCTAGTTTATTACCACAATCTCGTTTTAATGACGTAATATTCAACCAATTAAAGCGTGTCATAATACTGGCATGTTGCTCTAATTTGAGTTTTGCTATCCCACTATTCTTTAGGTGAAGAAATAGGTTCTTGAAATTGGTTTAAAAAACCGCCACTAGAATGCGATTGTGATAAACAACTCGTGAGATTAGATTGGAGACGACAGATATTAGAAAAATGAAATGAATTTGAAATCTAATTTTAATTAGATTGGCATGAATTAATTACTTACGGTAGGGGCAAACACCACACATCATATTACAGTCAATGGGAAAGTTACTGTATTTGGTACAGTCAGCTACAGTATAACTTCTTCTACACCAAGATTTTTCTGTTTTTGTACATTGGACTGAAAAAGAATGCAGATCTGTGAACTGAAGCTTAAGTTCAAGCGTTCTGGATGTGGATTCAGGAAAGCATGCATGTTATACGTTCACATGGTCGTCTTCAGCTAATGAAAGGTGTTGAGGTCCTCACCATAATCAATTGGGATCAAATTGCAGTAATTCGATAAAGTGAGAAAACGAATTTTCTTAACATTAAGCTGGTTGAGGCTAGTTTTAGATTTAGATATATTGATTGCAAAACCTTTCATAATAAGCATTATCTCTATTACAAAACTTACGGGTTTGACATTGGTCACCAGAGTAAAGACTTGGACATGAACAAGTACACGTATTGATATCTAAAGTACCACCGTTAAAACATATTTTACCATTACAGTCTAAAATGTAAATATGGTTGAATAATTAAAGAAGGAGTTGGACCTGATTGTTCGCTTTCACAATGATAAAGAATTACCATTACCAATGACCGCAAGTGCGCCAGGTATTCCAACCATTTTCTCCATCGCCTAAGGAAACATTAGCATTGTTTGTCAACAGTAACTGTGTAAACTGTAGTTGAGATAATGTACATTCAACCCCCATAGCTCCTGAATTACCACATCCCTATTTTTAAACACATCAGGTGTGACCTGAAATTAACATAATTCACAAAATTTGGGGGAAATTGCATTATATTTGCTAAAAATAGATTTCTAGTTCAAGACAACTTAAACCAGTACATACCACAAAGGTTATCACTACAGGAGCTAGGGCAATCACTACAACTGGACGATCCACTTTTGTAGGGATGAGTAAGACCCATTTGTCTGGAAAAGAAATCTTCTTATTATCGGGAACACTGATAGTATCAATTTGCTGGTTAAGTGTTTGAATGACGCCAATAATCGCGAAAGGCCTTAATATTATGTGATAGAACATAATTTCGCGATTGGTGACGTCATCACATATTTAATGGAATTACATAAAACACAGACGTCTGTGGAAAATTAGACTGGTGCAAATCAATGCTATCCGGGTCTGCGACACATATAAAAATTTTAGGGTCTTTTCCGCGGAAATGTAAATGAAGCTATGCGCTATGTTGCTTACCCAATAGCATAGTTGCATACGTAGTACGATTTATATGTTGAATCGGGACAATGAGCTTTACCACAGCCGACTCGTGTAGACTGATGATGGACCACCTGTAATAATGACAAAATATATTCAACCGGAATTAGTCTACTAGAGGCACCCGGAAGCCAAAGGATTTCAAATGGCCCGAATTGAAGAGGGTTAAATTTTCATTTCAAATAAGACCTTTTACAGGCCCGAGAGTCCTACCACTACATAAGCCACTGTGCCTAACCATGATGGTGAAATTCACTATTCGGAATATTCGAACAAAATACCGACACCAAATGTTGATTCCAAAGATCCAAGTCAGAAAAGCGTGCTAAAAAAAGACTATCCATACTTTTCTAACAAGTGGATAAAAAATTTTCAGCTTTTTGTCTCGCTATATTGAGTGATAATCCGGTCCATAGTACCACCTAACTTCAAAAATATTTTTTATATAATGTGATTTTTTTTTTAAATTGGGTGATTTTGAAGTTGAGTGGTTGGGAGGTAATTCATGTCTGCTGATATAAATTCTTATTAAGATTAGATTACAATTTCATTTCTCCTTTATTTTTAGTCACTATTGTAATTTAACTTGTTTAATATCACAATCTCGTCTCGTGCCTAACCATGATGGTGAAATTCACTATTACAAAAAAGCGGAAAAGATGACCAAGGCTGCTATTTACACGCTGGGCGCAAACATCGCCGTCAAGCATATTCTAGAATATCCCATATTACACAGAATAGTTGAAAAGAAAAAAAAGAAAGACTTTGTTAGGCGACCGAAGTGATCCCCCACCTTGGCAGAATATGCCACTGACCATGGATGCTTTTTATCTTTTCAGTTATTGTTATTTGTTATAGGTTTAAGTACCTGAGTGTAATGTCCGACGTCTTTACCGTTGATAGATCCTACACCATATTTGAAATCAACGACTTCATCATGCCATGCTTTAATAGCTGCTATAAGATTTGCTTGACCAGCAGCAGCGTTTTGTCCAATGTAGGTACCTTTTAGTGCTGAAAAATCAAGCAAAAAGTGGTAATGACAAGAACATCGCTTAAAGTCCCGTCACCCGAATGAAAATTGAACCAGTGAGTTAAGGTCATCTTAAAGATGGGTTTCCTTATCTTTAGTGTCAACTTAAGCAAACTATTTGATTAATTGATGTTTCTAATGAATAATCATGTATTCTCGATCATATCATTTTGTTCTTATTGCATATAACTAAAAGTTTTAACCAATCAAATATGTCTGTGTTTTTACAGTCTGAACAAACCAAAAAAGACTTTTTGACCTTTCTTGATCGGTCACTTATTTGAATTCTACTGGTATTTCTCTTCTAACTGTGAATTAATTATGACATGTGAGGCAAACTGGTATTTTTCCAAGTCATAAGAACACCTCTACTTTCTATTAATATAAGTATTAGCATTTTCATTTTCATAAATGAAAATAAGGGAACCCATCTTTAAGCTTGGTATAAGCGTGCGGTCGCCGCTGATCGCCGAGTTACGACGTTTGTTTTGTACAAGATCTTGAAGGTTTTGAGAACGCCACAGAATCGAGAATGTCGTTAAAATAAGAGTAAAGTGCACGTTTCGAAAATGGTTACATTTGCATTCATGGCAGCTCCTTTTATCATTATGATGAGAGATAGATAGAGATGAATCTAAACAATTGAAAACTTACAAATGGTTTTCCTTGCATCCTTAGTATCGTGCCCGGCTCGACCTTGTTGGGCCCATTTTGTTGCAATTTCAGCCAACTCATCATCCCAAACCTATTGAATTGGTAAGATAGATAAACAGCATTTCTGTTTTCTCCGAAATGTATGTCGGAGTGTCTAATTGGATTTCCAGGAACGTAAGATACCCTTTTTCACTTAATTTAAATTGTTTATAAGGCAGACATCTTAGTGGGACCAAAATGCAATAAATCTTTTGCATTCAGCTCGATCGATACCAAACATCAATGTCAGTTTTCACTTCTCAGAATTACAATTGAACTCCTAGATCAACTTCAACTAATCTTCTGTTTAAATTTGAGTTCAGACTGTTATGGAACATTAATTTAACGAACAAAACGGCAATTTAAAATTACGAGGTTTTGGAAGATGCCGAAAATCTAATAATTATGAGCTCATTGAGTTCTGAGTGGCCAGAGACTCCGAGTCACGACAATGAAGATCACAATGTACTCACCATTTTCTGCATAGCGGCAGCTTTAGGACTCACATTCTTTCTATAGTCATTATGAGCGGCCACTGCTGCATCTATTTCCTCTTGTGACAAAGCTACTGCTGTACACACATCAACCAAACACATTGAATGGGATGAAGATATGTTTTTGTAAGCTTCATTACAGTTCGACTAAAAATAATAATAAGAGAAATTGATACAAAATTTCAATATTCCTCCCAATTCGTAATTGTTTCAGAATTTAATAAAACATATAACATACTTTTGGCGATATCAATTTCAATGGCACTTCGCTTTTGAAGCGATAGAAAACCACAGTGTTGGTATATATAAAACCCTTTTCAGCGACTCTTGACACTTCAGGCTTTAATATGTTTATAAACATACTTACATTATAGTTCAAGTTGCCTTGAGGTGCAGCGTTATTTGCTGATCTGACTATTCGAAGCAAGTTACCATTGAACCCTTCCACAGAGGCTAAATTATAGAATGAGGTCATAAAGAAATAAAACAAAAGCTGCCATCTTAAAGGCTATACTCAGTAGGGAATTTGACGGTTGCCTAAACTACAGAACTGTACTCTATTACATACAAAGCAATTTTGTAACAACAGTAAAATTCACAAATCGAGCCAATTTTGATGTATTTTATTTTAATCAAGGACAATAACTCAAATAGCTGTACAATATCATAAAGGCGTATAAAAATTGGAAATCAGGCTGTACTAGAAATAGTCATAACAAAAAGAATGTCATAAAAAAAGATTAGTCCCTGTACTAAAATTTATTTAAAAACCAAAATAGACAATATTAACAAAAATCCATATTTTGTGAAACTAAAATATAATTATAAAACATAATTTTGAATTAAAACCTTGAATTTTCAACCAGGTGATAATCCTGACAAATTTTTTAATTAAATATTATTGACTTATCAAAGTTCGGCAATCTTCAGATCCCCTGGGATCAACTGCTGGGTGTTTATTGACTTGAAACACCTGTAAAAACGGAAAACTTCGTAAAACTGATAGGAAAAAGAGAAAAACTTTCTACTTACATACAACCTTAGATTGAGAGAGTGCAATCTGCCACACAACAAGTAAAAAGCAAAGACGATTCATCTTCTAGGTTCTGAGATATTAAATAACACGATCAAATATCTGCAATGTAATCAAACAGTCAAATGGAGATCCTTTTATAGGATATTGTATAGAGAATAAAAATGTAAAAAAGTGTAACTGTAATCATAATTGCCCACTTCATCCAAGGACGTGTAATTACATAATCTCCAAAATTTGATGTTATAGTAGCGTTTTGTACATTAATTGATGTAATTTCTTTAAACGTCTTAAAGGTGTCGACAAGGAAGTCATTTTGACATTTTACCTATTGCGAATGTATATCCCCCCCCCCCCCCTCCCCCATATTAGCTCTCTATATTCATGCCTGCAATATACCGAGCTCCCCATCTTCACAATGTCAAGCTATAGCGACTACGAAAGTTCGTAATAGCTTGACATTGTGAAGATGTATGATGTCCGATGACCAAGTTCCATAATGATTTCTCTCTCTCTCTCTCTCTCTCTCTCTCTCTCTCTCTCACACACACACACACACACACACACACACCCTAACACAACATATTTGACCAATCGGAGATGTTAGTATTAACAGCTGGTTTTGGAATTAGTTTGTGGATAATGCAAGTCCAACTATGATATTTGTTGCATTTTACGTTGCGTTTTAAGTTGATGGATTATTTTGCAAGAGAGGCTTAGGACACCCCCACCAGTTATCTTTTAAGAGGAATTGGGAGCGGGTCATTCTCGAGCAGAAATGGAGATTTTCCGCGCTTGGTGTTGAAAAAACACCAGCGTTCGCGCCAGTAGTGAGTGTCCTGAGTCAACACTTGACACGGTGCTTTGGTAAACACTGGATAACCACCAACACCAAAACTAACAGCAGCACCAACTTTGAAATCACTCAGTGTGAAGATTCGGACTGTCTTTGGAAAAAAAAAATCCAGTGTAGTTGAAATTATCTAGGATGAAGTCGTAAAATGATTGTTTCATCAGCTGATAGATCTCAATCTCAGCTTCTTGAAAGCTTAAAATTGACATTCTATTTTGACGTCATCTGTTATAACAACACGCGCTGATGTGATGCAGTCTCAATCTGGATTATTATTTTTTATTTTTTTTATTTTTTTTTTGATAGTGGAAAACTTCGGATTTTAAATTGAAAGTGTTAAAGATGCCTAATGACATCTATCTGTTTATTAATGTTTGTAAATTTTCCATGATTCAACCTTGAAGTAAATAAAAAACAAGCTTTGAACTGTAGGGTAGTTATTATGATATATTATGTAAAAACTATCACAGAGCGTCCATGATACGAAATAGTACAGATTATAGGTTTATTGTCTCCCTTGCAATAGATAGAATAATTCTCATTTGATTGCCATTATTATTTACTGCATATTATCACTATAATTGGCCTGTTTAGAATATAAACTTAGAGTGTAAAACGATTAAATCATGATAAGTTTTCAAAATTACTACCAGTGAAAAAATATAATAGGGTATTAAAGGTTTGGCCACACCCTTATTTTAATTCCATTACGTGGCATTGTAAGTTTACGACAATAACATATTAAAAGCGTATAGAGTCCGCTTGTTTTCAACTTTCAGTTATACAAATTTTAAGTAAAAGCCAACATTATCAACAACGTCAACATTACAGGTAGCAAACTTGTACCTATGTTTACCGTAGCCATGGTCAGACTACTGTCAATCGTGCCAAGAATCCTGCATAAGCTTTGTGCATATATATTATTGTATATTGATTTTGGATTAGTTGAGATGTAGGCAAACGAACAGTAATTTCTCATTTTAGGGAAAGGGCATGATGTGTTTACAATTTTATGGCAGGAAGTTTGCGATCTTTTTTTTCAGGAACAGATCAATCAGCTCATCAGCAACAATCGTATGCACGATATCGGCATTCATCACCATTAGGCTCAAACAATTTAGTCGATTCTCACACATCACGCTCCTGGTAGGACAATTTTCGATGGGCCTGCGGAAATTTAATAACTGTTTGATAATTTTTACTGTTAAATTTCCCATGGGCAGAAAGGCAGTTGTCTAGTTTGCTATAGGTTAATCCGCCTCTGGACACACGTCATATATGCTTCTGTATCCTGCTAAAACCAGGTATGAACGATCCTAGCGAGAATTTCAAAAGCCGTGTTAAAGACCTGTCATAAAGACACCCCTAGACTACATTACCTAGTATGCTGTCACTGGTTAAGCTTGCTTTTTATTAAAAGCGTATTAACAATATTTACGAATTCAACCGTTTTGTGAGTTTCATGGTTTCCAGAAATTAAAGAGATTGTAAAGAGGTTGTTTTCTGGACTTTTTATGTGTATCTGGGACACTCATAACATCGATTTGCACAATTCCTATTCTAACTCAGACGCCTGTGGTTCCTGCAATTCCGCTGAATCTAATCCGTTTGATGACGTCACTATCGCAAAATCTGGCTGTATTATATAATATATTTTTGATATTCAATTGAAATTATACGACAATGTTGTTTTCTTAATTCAAATCAAATCAAAATTATATTATATATCGGGAGGCTGGCGCCAGTACTGAACGCGACACTCTCTGATACTGCAAATCGACTCGAATTTCCTCTCATTATGCATGTATTTTAGTATAATGTTATCGACATATTTCAGAACGATGTATGTATGAACACCTGCCATAAAATACACCTACACGATTGACGAAAAAAAGACAATAAAAATGGAGGAATTTCCGAAGATCAATAAACTATTACAAACAACATGAATGCTATAAAAATAAAACAATAGATTTCTCGTGGTAATATTGTATGTTAACAACTGGAGAGAAACATAAAATATATCTATTAATACGAGGGTTTACCCCTTACAAGATCTCAGATTCATTTCATTATCTCCATTCACCCGATATTTCTATTTCATGATATTCTCTCTGGTTTTTTATATTTTTTAACATCATGTTATTGTAATATTGACATAGTTTGCCAAATAAATGTTGCTAGTTCGGTCAACGGACGTAAGTCATCGTCAGCACCAAAACCTGAGGATGCTTCTCAAAGTAATTCAAGATGACCAATCCTCCCCTCATATAATATGACAGTAATAACTTTGAGTCATCATGCGTGGCTATTGATCAAGAGTAGATGATGAAAATTGCTCTTAGAGCACATGGTTCAGAAAAGAATTAGGCCTGATGCTGGTTCGGCTTTGCTATCCCTCCCCCCTTCCACGCCCCCGCCTCTGCCTCCCCACCACCCCCACTTTCATTTTTTTTATCATTTTACATAGTGAAAAAAATGACCTATGGCCCCCTAGAAAATTTTGTGGCCCCTGCTTGGCCCCCTCATCTAGTGTTTCCTGTAGAGCTTCTTAGAAAAAGATATAATTCTTTTGAAGGTGCTGAATGCGTATTTGGAGAAAACTGTGAAGTCTACGGTGGCTCACATACGACATATTTCACTTTAAATTTTGAATTAAAAACATTAATTTTCACATAGGTGAAAATTAATTATCACCTAGGTGAAAGTAATTTTGAATTAAAAACTTTAATTTTCACCTAGGTGATAATTATTTTCACCTAGGTGATAATTATTTTCACCTAGGTGAAAATTAGGTGATAATTCCTGTAATTTTGAATTAAAAACTTTAATTTTCACCTAGGTGATAATTATTTTCACCTAGGTGAAAATAAGGTGATAATTCCTGTAATTTTTAATTTAAAACTTTAATTTTCACCTAGGTGATAATTGTTTTCACCTAGGTGAAAATTGGGTGATAATTCGTGTAATTTTTGATTAAAAACTTTAATTTCCACCAGGGTGATAATTCAACGAATCTTGTAGGTGAAAATTAAAGTTTTTAATTAAAAAATAGAGGAATTATCACCTAATTTTCACCTAGGTGAAAAGAATTATCACCTAGGTGAAAATTAAAGTTTTTAATTCAGAATTAATTTTCACCTACGTGAAAATTAATTTTCACCAAGTAAAAAAAAAGTTTTTAATTCAAAATAAAAAGTGGAAAATGTCGTATGGGAGCCACCGTAGAAGTCTATATTAGCCTTATTTTGCTTATTATATTCAAATTTGAACAATCATAATCAATTTTAAGAACGTGAACCGTTTGAAATTTTCATTTTTTTCTTGCAGCATTTGGAAGCAAAGGCTACATTCACCTTGTTGTGTAATAATTAGAAACAAGAACTGAAAATATGTAGTAGAGATAACTATCTAAATTGGACGTGACTTCAAGACTTTTCGTTTCTTTATTCTTTTCTTATGTAAATAAAAGAACATGGTAATATACCATATTCTTGCGAAACCTTAAATAAACAAAGACATGTATACTTTTTTCATAAATTGCATTTGCTGACTGAAACTATAATCCCATGATAAGGACACAAGAACTCTTTGATCTGAAATCCAGATTTTGTTTCAAAAATGTTTAAGGGAATTAATCTTGATTTTGGAAGAATCGCAGTTTTGCTGCTGCTTTGAGATGAAATCTTAGTGATATTAGCATCATTTGGTTGTTACGGCATTTCTTCTAGTCGATAACCTTCATTTCCTTATTATTATTATATTGTTTCATAAGTGAACTTGCAACACAACTTGCATTTGATAGTGTCAACCGGTCGTTCACCAGCGTCCTCTCTCATTTCACGTTAGTGAAAAATATTTTTCGACAAAGGGGTGTAACTCGTATTTGCAAACTTGGTTAATTCATCCGGCGACCAATGAGCTAGACTTTCTTTTTAAATAGGCATTTTGAAAATTAACGAGCTTAGCCGACGCGTTAAGATGCCTCCACAATTAGATCCACAATTACCAAACCAACAACATCCACAAAATCGAATTAGTAGCATGGGTCCCATAGCATGTCTCCATCCCTGGCAATGATCAAGCAGATCGTTGAGTCTGGAGGATATCGAGCCTGTATAAAGAATACTCCTATTCGGAATTCTGTAGTATCGTATCTTCTAGGATCAACCAGAAATGGGCCGACACGCTACGGAACAGATAGGCTAAGTTTTTATTCTCAAAGTTTCTTAACACTTCTGAATTACCCATTCCATCAATTTAACAAGTTTAACTGTAGAAATCTCAGAGAACATCTTTTCCCCCTTTTGTTGAAAGCTTTTCCCCCTTATTTTATTTTTCTTTCCCCCTCTTTTCTCACATTCTTTCTTTTTTCCTTTTTTCATGTCTTCTAGTTTTCCAACAGTTATTAGATAATCTAACCAAACCAAACCAACGACTACCATTCGACTACCAATCAACAAGAATTACCATGATCAGAACGAGTTTGTAAGAATGAAGAAGATCGAGTAACTCACGTCACACCATCCAGGGCCGAGTTTCACCAACTAGATCTAACGAACAATAAACAACCAAACCAACAACGAAGAATCATCCAATTTGAACCAATCAAACTACCAACTACTACGACTACCAACAACTACCTTGTAGTAGCGATCCTTGCGATATCAGCATCCGATGGAAGCGAACGTTTACTTATCATCTACCAACCCACTAACCAAATTTTGGAGGTTTCATGTTACTATCCAACAGAAGGCACTGGCAGACATTTATAATAAAAAGAGTGATTTATGTAATATTAGTCATGGCAAAAAAATATTTTAATGTTAGTGCCCAAGCTTGTGATATTGCCCTGTAAAGTGCTATAGAAGTCTTAAACGGACTCTTGAGTACCACAAAATAGAAGCCAGAAGCATTATCCACTCTTGTTAAGGCCTGTATGTTAAAATGGAAATACGTAGTACTTCTAACATAGACCTAAAAGTCAAAAATACTATCATAATATTAAATAATAGTATATAAATACCAATTTACACTGTTACACTGAAACTACAAATCAAAACTCAAATTAAATTACCAAATATTCATATATATTTTTTTTGATATGGTAATGATTCGTCCATATTAAAAATAAGACAAATGATTAAATCTAATCAATTGGATCAAGTCTACCATGGACAAGAATATTATATAGTTTGTATATCAGAACCTTAAAAAATAAAATCAACTCTACAGTTGACTCTGAACTGTATTTATTATGTAAATATAGAAAAGATATAAAAAATAATAAAATCCAATTTAATTTCATTATTGTAAATATTAGCAAGCTTAGCACAGGTATTTGCATGTCCTTGTAATAATTCTTTTTCACTTTTTCACTTAAGTCAAGAAGTTAGATTTGGAATAGAGCTGTGTGCATTGATATTCTCAATATATATAATAACCTGATACAACCATATTTAATAGGTTACATAATAATGAAAAATATAACTTCGATCTAATTGGGGGAGAAAGGTTAGTTTATTAAGTACTGTTTGACTTTAATTTGCTATGAACAAGATTGCCATTTAAGTTCTGGAATTTTGAATATGCGACAAGACATAGAGGAATTTCTCTTGTACCCTTGTTAACCCATGGTCGATTACTGTTGGTATTGAACCGGACAACAAAGGCTGCATTACGGTGAATATTAAGTCATATCGGTCTTTCGTCATAAAGTCTGTTCCTAGCTGCTATCTCAGATAAAGTGGAACTTATTATGTACTCACACTTCAGTTTGAGAAAGCAATCGTGTAAGCCTTTTCATTGACAAAACCAGTCCAAGGGAGGCCAAGATGTTAAAAAAATCGTTTGCATCTAAAAAATATTCGTCGGTAATGGTTTCCAACTGTCGACGTTGATACTCAAAATGCGACAGCTGTGTTGAAGCGCATAGGCACTAACCCCCCATGGATCAAGTGAGAGAGTTTTACCCCAAAAATGTTTTTGAAAAATAGAATTAGGGCAAACATGTATGGAAATCATATTAAGAAATTTGATAGAAATGAAGTGGGGTAAAACCGGGAGTACGAGTGTTATATTAGCTAATGTTGGCAACTTGGAGCCTTTTATCAATCGCTGAACAAAGTCGAGTCGATTTAAGCGTCCAGAGTTGACATTAGTAGCTCATGTTCTGCTTTCTAGCCTAGAGTTGACATTAGTAGCCCATGTTCTGCTTTCTAACCTAGAGTTGACATTAGTAGATCATGTTCTGCTTTCTCGCCCAGAGTTGACATTAGTAACTCATGTTCTGCTTTCTAGCCCAGAGTTGACATTAGTAGCTCATGTTTTGCTTTCTAGCCTAGAGTTGACATTTGTAACTCATGTTCTGCTTACTAGCCCAGAGTTGACATTAGAAGCTCATGTTCTGCTTTCTAGCCCATAGTTGACATTAGAAGCTCATGTTTTGCTTTCTAGCCCAGAGTTGACATTAGAAGCTCATGTTCTGCTTTCTCGCCCAGAGTTGACATTAGTAGCTCATGTTCTGCTTTCTAGCCCAGAGTTGACATTAGAAGCTCATGTTCTGTTTTCTAGCCCAGAGTTGACATTAGAAGCTCATGTTCTGCTTTCTAGCCTAGAGTTGACATTAGTAGCTCATGTTCTGCTTTCTAGCCTAGAGTTGACATTAGTAGCTCATGTTCTGCTTTCTAGCCCAGAGTTGACATTAGAAGCTGAACATAGTCTGAATTCATCACAATAACTTTTTTCTTTTTAAATCTGATTTCAACCTAAAACATAGATGTTTTAAAATATTCAAATGATATAGAGAAAACTCACAAGTTTTGAAAAACAGGATATGACTGACAAAACAAAATAACATTGAATCTACATCGTTTAATGAAATACAAATAAACTAATAAAAATTTAGTTTCGGGCATTATTGAATCAGATAAACTTCAAGTAACCGAATTTAACAGTTTCGTAATAAACATTCCGTCATATTTCGACGTATTTAATTACGTGCTCTGATTTTATCTCGCTGTTCTCCTTCAGAATACGTGACCAAAAAAACAAGTTCCACACCTTAAATTTGACGAATTTGAATACGTTTAGCGGCTCTTGTGGGGGTACGGGTTTGTGGGAGGGTGGGGGTTGGGGTGTTTTGCACCCCCAATGGTACCCCAAATATTATAACCAAATTTAAAAATACGATTCTTAAATGTTTTTGTCCCAAAGTATGTGTCAGACTGTATCAAATTAATTCATTTTTTCTTGAGAGCATCCAAAAAATCCATTAAAAACTTGCGACAAGTCACTTTTAATTCAGCCCCGACAGTTGTCCCCAATTGAACCAGTCTACCCCCTATTTGTACCAATAATCTCGAGAGGCTGGCGCCACAACTGTTTCTGATTTTATCTCGCTGTTCTCATAAAGAAATACGTGACCAATAAATATCTTTCAAACCTTTTGACCTCGTTTTATATAAGCTCTGATTTTATCTAGCTACTGTCTTTAAGAAATACGTAACATTGCCGTGAAAAAAGCATCAACATTTCGCCTCAGGTTCACAGAATACTCTGTAATATCGTCAATAAGTCAATAATAAAATATAATGTTTTTAATTGCACGTACGAATGATTTTTTTATATCATCAATAGTATAAATCTTGATACACCTGAATCTCTTGTCAGTTTTATCATTTACTTTACAATTGAACAAATGATATTGTTATATTAATCAAAGATATTATTTACACAGGTATTTATTTAATTTTATCTCTCTAACTATCTTTATACTACTATATTATATTATTATATTTTATATACTATTAATACTATAATATCTCTATGCACCTGTATGTTATTCTTTATATTTTTTGTGGTTTTTTTTTTTTTTTTGTCTTCAATCGAGCCTTGATTGGAAATGAACTGAAATGGATTCCTACATTTTCCATCTCATTACATTAAAGGGGCATGTGAGAAAAAATCTAGGTAAAAAAAATTATCATCACAAATTTTTAATTTTCAACGCCAAAACTATTTAAAAGATTTACATAAAGTTTTTTTGTTCGTTATGCATTTTGGTAGATCTTAGAAAACCACCATTGGTACTGCCCATTTAGGATCTATGTCTCAATCTTCAATATAATGTGTATTATTGAATCAACGACTCGAGACTCTTCAGAGGAAATCGTGCATAACTGCGACCTATGTTCTGGACTGCATTCCCTGTTTCGAAAGACCCCTTTGTGATGAACAATTCCGTTTCAAGATACTGCGAGTTTTTAATTACATTCAACACACATAGACCATAATATCATGTTCACACAGGAGTACAAATATTGTAATATATTGAAGAAGTATATGATTGTTGGCATTTTTACTTGTGATTTTTATCTGTAATTGACAATAGCTCGTCTTATACCGCAAGGGCTCACCTTCAAATATTGGACTTAAGGTATAATAAAAGTAAGAGAATTAAATGATCAGGATGTCCTTGTCGATGCATTTATTCACCTTTCTACAAAGTTTTGATATAAAAATAATACATCTTGTACACAAATCTCAGATCCGTTATTTCGTCCTCCCAGAGGCAAAGACAGCTCGCATCCGGCTTTATCCGGATTTGGTATTCAGGTGTATTGTAAACGTTGGTTATGTTAATAGATTTTGTATGATTGTGACTGACAATAATCCTACAATGAATTGCCTTTAATTAAACCAATATATAAACTCTCAATTAGTTTTTTTTATCTGTCCAGACACCGGAATATATTTTGTTTATTACTTATTTTATCAGATCACGGAAACCTATTTAAGAACCAATTCTGATTTGACTTCATTACATTTTGTCTAGGTATTTCTTATAAAGATCTCCAAAATGAATCGTCTCTACATTATACTGGTCATGTGGCAGATTTTAAGAATTGAATCCGCAGTTATATGTAAGTTATCATTCATTTATTTATTCATTTATTCATTTATTCATTTATTCATTTATTCATTTATTCATTTATTTATTCATTCATTCATTCAGTTTATTCATTTATTAAAATCACCAGTGGCAACAGAAAAAAATGAAATAAACTTCCATATTTTACAAGAATAATAACCATAAATTTCGAGGATCTAACATCTCGTCCATGGTTCGTCTTTTAGGCATTGATTTAACCCGGATTCTCCGTGCCCATTTGCATCGGCCACGAATGAGGGAATGAGGTAAACCGACTTTCATACGCTACCCAAGATCCCACGAAGTATTGTACAACCGCCTGATACTATATTGTCTTGAGCCCAGTCCTTTTATACGCATTTTGACCATTTGACGTCATTTTACAAAACATTACAGTTATTTTCTAATAATTTCAGCCTCTGTAGAGAATCTTAATGAATTAAGTCGTTATGAAAGATCAGCAAATAACGCTGCAGCTCAAACTAATCTAAACTACAATGTAAGTATAATCTGTAATATTAATGAGATCGGAATGAGATTTTAGTAAGGTATTCGTTTCCTATTTGTGACACCACAAAGTCTATTATATATCGTAACCTTGCTGTTGCAATGAGTTATACAGCAAAGGTTGACTCTGCTTTAGTACACAGATTTGATAATTTGTGTTAAAGGGGCAGGTATTCCAATTTTGGGTGTTGATTTGAGTCTTGAATATGTATAAATAGTTTTCCGAAGTACTAGAAACTCCTTCAAATCTCAAATTAGGATTTTGTCCTTATTTCTATCTACATATGGCAGTCAGATAAAAAGACGACTCGTCTTTGTAACTTTTAAACGCGGATAATTCTGGACACTGGTCAAAATTCGACTGAGAGCTGTGAACACTATTACTGATTGACTTAGCTAAAACTTCCCGTTTCTGAGTCTAAAGTATGTTTGATCTGAATATCTTGTTCAATAATGTTAAACGATAGAGTAATTCTTGTTTTATAATCTTCATTTGCTTATGGCGTTTTCAGTCAGATTTTCCAAATTTGTTCAAATTTTGCTCCAAGCTGGATTTATTTTTATCTATGTGTTACACAGTTTTATTCACATATCACGATCCAAAATTTAGTTTTTATATACATTCCCTTGAAATATGAAGCGTATGTTACAGTTAAACTCTAGTTGTCCAAAGGGCGGGCGTCCATCAATCCGTCACTTGCAATTTCTCGGTTTCAAACTAGACGGTAATTTCTTCGCATATTTAGATAAATTTGGAGAAATAAAAGCATTTAGTTATTATTCGAAAACACCCTTGAAGCCATATTGATGAACATAGTGACCAAACCACACCCTCATTCGTCATATTTCCTCGAGGCCATGGGAATAGAAGTGAGAGAGAGATATTACGTATTCATAACGAAATTCAAAGATTTTTTTTAAAGAATTAACCACAAATGAACCCTATGCAGAGGAATGAAAAAATAGAATTATTTAATATGAGTTAACGCCTATATTCTATACGCGTCCAATTTCAAGCTCGTAAAAACGTAAGAACGTATCATTCTTATCATAAAAAATTAGCCAGAAGTGTTCGCTCTTTCACAGCGCCAAATGCAAATTTGCCGATTCAGCATACGTTCTGGATATGATAATGTTTGGTTTGCTATTTTTCTTTTCTTTTTTTTTTTCACTTTTCGATTATTGCATATTAGCGATGGTAAATAGTTCTCTAATGCAGTCGTAGTATTTTTTAAGTTTTTGTTATTTGTATTATTCGTATATCTTCAGTCTAACTGTAATGCTGACTACAAAGCTCTAACTCCTTCACATTCAATGTGTTTGGTCGATGTTGGTACCGAGGTACCCCTGACACAAGCCGAGAAAGATGGGGCTTTGACTGCTCATAATGACTATAGAAAGAATGTGAGTCCTAAAGCTACCAACATGCAGAAAATGGTGAGTACATTATTTTGAAATGCTAAGTAAAGTCGTGCAGATGGGACAATAACCTGAAACTCCGTGCTAAAAAAATGACTTTAAGGCAAGAACTTCGTACTTATCCCTTTCAAGTTAGAATGTTTAGAATGTCCTGTCAAAATGTCTCTCTCTGTACTATGCCAGGCTATGTAGTAATAATTTATTTTGTACTTTAGGATTTTTATTTTGAGGTTATTTTATTTTACGATTATTTAAAAGGTTTGGGATGATGAGTTGGCAACAATTGCAACAAAATGGGCTCAACAATGCCGAAGTGGTCACGATGCTGGTAAATCAAGGAAGACAATATGTAAGTTCCCTTCTTTTACTGTTTGCGGTGGCTGGTCAGACAGACCGGATATCCGGATCGTATCCCATTGCTCGACAAAAGTTTCTTCTTTTCCAACCCAACCCAAGATTGACACTGTCCTGAAAAAATACCAAATACAGCCAACGAGAGCCCTCGACAGAAAGTCTGTAAACCATAGGATACGATATTTACAGTCTTTGTGTCGATGGTTCTGATTGGCTGCATTCGCAAGCGTACAATCCAATCCAATCGATGTATTCCGTGATACCAGAAAGGTGTTTATTGTAGTCAAGGTATAAGACAAATTTCGTAATAGCTTGACAATGTGAAGATGAAATACATTGTTACAAAGCGTTTACAAAATAATCAATACTATATTCAATAAAAAAAAGTTAATAACCTTGGTATCCAGTCAATGTTTGTTCGTGAAACAGTTAAACAGCTGGACTATTTTATTACCAGATCATGAGTAGTTCAGAAAAAAACCGATAATCTATGCCATCCTATATACCAATACAACCATCTGGACAAT